GCCAAATTATTCAGGTGTCCACTGATTTAGTTTACTTCTTTTTGGTGCCAATGTTATATCAAGAAACATTAAACATCAAAATCAATTAAGCATTAACTGTCATTCCATCATCCAAATGACACACAGAAAAGGGCGAAAAAGCTCAAAAAGCAAAAAAAAAAAAGTTATGATACATTGATAAAAGTATAGCTGTTAACTAAGCCTGGTATCACGGGCAGGTATTTGTTCCGCAGCAGGATCCTTTTGATCTGAGCACCGCAGTAGAAGAATCACAAGATCTACTAGAGGATTCAATATATAAGATATCAAGCGAGGTTTAACAACGTCCCCTCACCTTCTTTACTTCCTACGTCCCAAAATGAACTTTGCATTTCATTTAGGGGTATTGTAAAAAGAACTCACATTTAACTTTTTCATTTTCTACGTTTAACAACTAATCTTAATCTTTGAGCCAATCCCTAGTGTGAAGTTCAATTTGGGACGAAGGGAATCCTGTTAATTGGTGATTGACGTGGTGAATATACAAAATGACAGATACTCTGCAAGTGCTATGGAGATGAAAATGTGCACGAAAGAACATTAAGTGTGTTTGACTTACTCGGGAACTATAGATGGGATGCAAAACTGCTTCTAGCTCTTTCAGCTTTAGCAACAGTCTTTGGCGAATTCTGGATCATAATGCAGTCGCAGAACAAGAACCTGTTAGCTGCGTCGATTGCATTACTTAAGCATTTTCCAGACAGCAACATTTTTGAGCCAATCTTTAAAGCATTGACCTCAATAGTTAAAACAATGGTAGAAGTCATTAGGCGTGTTTCACAGTTTGAAGGTTTACCAACAACCCACGTAGAACTGCAGGATGATACTGTAACAACTACAAAATCGTTAATGTATGTTGCTGCTTATTGGATCATCAGGAGCATTGTTGTCAGCATTTCTATCGTCACAAATTTGAGAGCCATCGAAGATGATCAAGTGCACCCTCTTTCCTTTCAGTTATGCAGTTCATATTTATTTCTACCAGTGCTTATATTTTCAAGTTTTGCAATAAGAATATACAGAAAAAATATTCTATGCCAAACTTATGAAAAAGGAGACTGACTGTTAAACCTGATTTTTGACTTCAGGGATCCATATTCAATATCAAGTGCTGTATGGGAGATTGCAAGTTTAAGAAGCAAGATTAACGGCATTGGTTCTCAGCTTAGAACACAGGTAGATGCCTGCCAGCAACAGACAGGTATGTAAATTAGTAAATACGAGTATAAAATAGTCTCTAAAATAAATTCAGTAAGAAATTTAAACTTGTAGTGTGACAACTAGATCCAGACCGAGGTAGTACTCTTATTTTAGCGACTATTGGTTCATTATCTGGCTCAAAATGCAGAGCAGAAGATGCACAGGAAGCTCATGAATGCATTACAGGAGCCGCACATTGACAACCAAGAAATCCTTTGGATGTTGTTTGGACTGAGGAATGACTTGCCGCTAAAGCAATCATCTATGCAAGCAAAGGTTTCCTGACTTTAAATTACTATTCCCAAAATTTCAGCAAAGAAAATACATTCTTTTTGTTACTTAGACTTGTTGGTGATCTATATTCTATGTAGCCTAAGTAAACCAAGAATATATGACCACATTAGATTAAGCTTAATAATGAAACCTATCATGCAGACTCATCCAAATTGAGATTAAGAGTATTCAGCAGATATCACAAACATCATGCAAAGTAATAAATAATTTCTTATAAACAAAAAGAATTAAAAGATTACAAATCATAATTTAAGTTTATTCAAAAGAAAAGGTTCGGAGAACTACTTCAAAATTTTCATGATAATCTGAGGATAACTTGATTAACTTTTAACGAAAGACTAACTGCCATATAACTTATTTAGCTTTTTTGCGGGCTAAAGTGGCAGTGAAAATTTAAGAGTTACTCATTGTGGATATTTTAGCAGAATTGGGTTAATTTATAATCTGTTTTTGCTGTTAAGAGGATAACTTGTCCTACATTCTTGTACTTACTGCAACTTGATCAGAGTCAATAAAATATCAATTATTTTCCAAGGAGATTTCAACAGGATTTTACCTTCTTGTGACAGGTTGGAATCACCTCACTGAAGAACAAGGTGGTTGTTCTGCTGATTTCAAAACCAGAACTCCTGCCTGTACATGAATTGTTTTTACTGGTTCAGCAGACATATGATCATCCTCTCCATGATAAGCAAGATAGAAGCTATGATATCTTGTGGATCCCCATATCAACTTCCGAAAATTGGAGCAACAATGAAGTCACCATATTCGATCTTATATCAAACTCCTTGCCGTGGTACTCAATTCGACAACCATGGTTACTCAGCTCAACTACAATCTACTATGCAAAAAAGGAATGGAAATTCGATGAAAGCCCCGTTATGGTTGCCTTGGACCCTACAGGTATGATAACTAATATCGATTCTGCTGACATGGTATGGATTTGGGGTGCCAAAGCATACCCCTTTTCAGCCTCAAGAGAAAAGGAACTGTGGAGAACAGAGAAATGGAACCTTAGACTCTTACTTGACAGTATTGACCCTTTGTTCACCATGTGGGTATGATCTTTGCTCTGAATTTTTGAAAGCTGTTCTGATATAATTGATGTAAACTTCAACACTGACTGATCTCATAATAATGTCAGGTAGAAAAAGGAAGAACAATTTGCATTTACGGAAGCAGTAAGCTTGAGTGGGTAAGACAATTTAGTGCAGAAATTAAAGATATTCAAAGCTTAGCTGCACAACTTGAGGTGATTTATGTCGGTAAGACAAATCAAAGTGTTCTAGTAAGCAACATAGTCTCTTCCATAGAGAAAGAGAAGCTAAGTCACTCTCTTACTATGTCCAAGATAGCTTTGTTTTGGAAGCGCCTTGAAAGTATCAGACGATCAAACCTAAGGCTCCAACAGACCACTGACACTGATAATATTCTAAGAGAGGTAGTAGCATTGCTAGATACCTGTATGGATGATAATGATGAAGATTGGATGATATTTGGTAGGGGATCTTCAGCAGATATTGTAAAGCTTCATGGTAACGAATGGACTCAGTTCTTGAGTAAATACTCGGCATGGAAAAAGTATCTGCCAGAAATTGGTTTGGTAGAGGCAATTAGACTTTCTCAGGAACCTCCCCCAACTGAGCCATGCTCCCACTCAAGAATGACTAGATACAATAAAGAGCTAATGGAAGAAACTGTCATTTGTGAGAAGTGCAAGCGTCCAATGGAGAAGCTTATTGCCTACGATGTGGAGTAGGTTTTCCAAATAAGAATGATCGACTTTCTAACTGTTGTGGAAGTAACAATAAATGAAACTCCGTGTTTAGGAAGATGTAGCTAATATAAACCCAACTCCATATTGCTTAAGGTTGATTCAGTTCAATGTCTTGTCAAATGTTTATTGCTATTTGAAACATAGCTAGCTAACTAAGAATCATCCCCGCAAATTCGAAAAGTAGAATAGCTCCAAGCTGTTTCAAAGGGCAGCAACAAAGCCAATGCGCAGTAAAATTTCCAACTGTGCTTAGGTAATGGCTAAAAATACCTAGCTATACGTAGCTGGTAATTTAGTGAATTTAGTGGATATTGTAGACAACACAGTCCAGGTTTTTCCTACTTCAGCAGTACAGCTGATGCATTCTTCATCCGCCTTTCTTCTGATAAAGTGGTGATCATGCCATCAGTAGTAATTGGTGCATGAAACAAAATAACAAGCATGCTTAATGATGCACTTTTCTAATAGAACTATGGACGTTACAGGTCATGTGATAAGATCCATATTTTAAGACAATGATTTAGACCAGCAATAATTGAAAAACTTTGATATCTTTCATAACATTGATATCTTTTCTAATAAAACATTGATATCCTTTATTAGGACTCCCACTAAATAGTATATCAGTTCATCCTCGGATTAAAGTAACATTGAACAGGGATTTTATAAATACTAGCCAAGATATTGTTTGAATGATTAGCATAATAAACATCAAAAGGGCAAGCAAGCATGAGGTTTCAGAAAGCATTGAGATCCTTGTAGTAGCTGAGGCAGGATAGATGATTCTCAGGGAGCAGATTTCTAGTCCGCTCTGACCTCAAGGACTATTTTAAGTAAATTTCGGCATAACTAGAAACAATTTTGGTGTTCCTTCAAAAAACAGATGGACATGTTGGGTGAAATATGCTAGGATGGGAAAATCTTCTCTGCACTTCACCTATGTACCCTAGCAAATTTTCTTCTAAAATGGAGATAAATCACCACCATATAAAAAAATGAGTTAGCCTCAATAAATAGGTACCTCTGAATATTCAACACTAACATTAAGCAAGCCAATAGTTATTGGAACAGGATATGCATGTTGTAGTGCAATTTGACAAAAGACACAGTACACTATATTAATATGCAAAGCGGACTTTTAAGTGTACATATTATATCACAATTAGAAGCATAATACACTAGCTTCAGAGATTGATCCTCGACATAAGGAATTCTCTTTTCAGTTATCTTCTCATCTTTTTCTATAACCTAATTACATATTGCATGCTCATAACAAAAGTAACGCACTATAACTGTGTCTTTATTACGATCAAAAGCATGTTTTCCAATTATGCGTCTCCTAAGAGGAAAGAGTTGTTGCTTTTGGAGATTCTAGAGTCATATTACAAGAAATATGCTGAAAAACCTATATGAAGTCTTTCATTCAGGTTAAATAGTACAATAAAATTGACAGTTGTGGTCAGTTAGATTTTCAGAATAAAGAGTCCTAGATTTCTCACAGTATAACCATCAAATTACCAATTACAAACAAAAAGGGAAACTGGGTATTCAAGAAGACAAATCAATCTCAGGCAGCAATAGTACCAAAACCATTTGAGTTTCCTAGCATAAGAATCTTCAGACTATCTATATAAAGCAAGAACAACTTACAAAGCCAGTCAAGTTCTTATCTTAAAATTCTTAACCTTGTCAGTTGATCAAAAGTTTTGACCCTGTTACAAGCAAGGTAGTAGCTTCATTTGACCTTTATTCCAAAAACTAACCATCGGATGAAACTATAAAAGGTATAGAAGGAGAAATATAAAATCAGCAGCTCATTTATTAAAATCCACATTTAAGCCAAAACAATGGCAAGTTCTACTGTACCTGGCAGGAAACATCGATTCAGGGGTGATAGACATTTGTTCTCGGCTTCTGATGACACAACAATGTTGAACCAACTTCGAGCCACACATGCCCCTGATGGCCGTGACATTGATGTGAAACCTCTACTTCACATCATTGAGGACATCTTTTACCGTGCTGCACCCACCATCCCTGGCTCTACTCAGGTAAAAAATTCTATACTATGCAACTCCATATATATATTCTCTGTGATACACATAAAGTTGGCTGCTTTGATTATAGAATTATCTGCAATTGAACATGTAACAGGGAGATCAAGCACACATGGATGCGCTAGATGACAAGGCATTTCAAGCTGGCTATGGAGAGCTGATAGAACTATTGGCATTCACCATAAACAAAATCTCTAACGAGGTTGGTTAAAATTTCAAAAGCTGTTTGACTAGAAACGAGAAAATCTCATATATTAAGCAGATAACGAAAAGAGCAGCATATAGCAATGTATTAAAACTATATCTTTACTTAAAAACATAGAGGGTCCATAAGGGAATTTGCTACATAATGCTACATAGATCTCTGCTTTGTCTAATCATTTCGATTAAGTTTTTTAGTATCAGAAGAAGATATTTGCAATGACATCAACCAGTTGGTCTGCTCTTATAAAAACAAACTTGAATAAAACATCAACCAATAAGGATAAACTTAATATGAAGTAATATTCTTATTGCAGATAGTTTGCAAGTGTTCTGGTAGTGGAGATGCACATACAACAACTCTATCAATATTCAACATGGTCTCAAACTACTCTTGGGATGCAAAAGTGGTCCTTGCTCTGGCAGCCTTTGCTGTGTATTATGGTGATTTCTGGTTAATTGCCCAACTCTACACAGTAAACTCATTGGCAAAATCTGTTGCAATCCTTAAGCAACTTCCCGAGATAATGGAGAACCCAGATAGCCTTAAACCCAAGTTTGAAGCAATTGGCAATTTAATCAGAGCCATGGTAAATGTTACCAATTGTATCGTGGAATTCAAGGAGCTCCCACCTCAGTACATAACTGCAGATACACCGGTATATGAAAGTGCTGATGCTTTGATCCCGACAGCTGCTTACTGGATCATCAGGAGTACACTGGCCTGTGCATCACAAATTGCGGGTCTAATAAGCATGAGTAACGAGTATGTGATCCTCCTCTTGCTTTTATGAGTCCAATCTGTAACAATCAACTCGATCATGATTTGAATATTTCTTAAGCTTTTATTAGAAGGAACATGCTAGTTTATGCTCTCTTAGAGGATGAAGTAATTTGAGGAAACCTACCATATTATCACTAACACAAGACATCTTAGTTCATAGTATTAGCTATGACGCTTATAAGCCATCATTGAAAAATCTATGAAGAGAACTATACATGTAGATAAACTATTCAAGAAGTGATAAACAAGTCAGCAGACATTCGAACTTATAGCAACATTTTGTTACCTGAAATCATACTTCACACTGTTCACAGTTTTTGTTTTATCTATTTTTGCTTGGTTACAATCAGGTATATATCGTCAACAACAGAGGCTTGGGAGCTGTCAAGCTTAGCTCATAAGGTCAGCAGCATATATGAACATCTACGAAAGCAACTAGATCTCTGCTACCAACAGATTGGTAAGCTAAAGCTACATACAATATGTAACAGATATTACCTTTCACCAATTGTTGAGAAATATGCATTGAAACAATCACAATGCACATAATGTATACTATAATGTATACTATGTACATGTTATGCATGTATTCTGCAAGACTAATTAAATTTTCTTTTGCAATGAATGCAGATGAAAAGAAACATATAGAAGCATACCAGTTGCTTATTCGCACATTTGAGACACCCCATCTTGACAACATGAAAATTCTCAGGCTTCTGATTTATTCCAAGGACGATCAACTGCCCCTTTGGGATGGTTCTGGAAATAAAATCGTTTGTTTACTGTTTACTCCTCTGCTTCTATCTGTTGTTGCTCTAACTAAATTTTATTTTACACAAAAGATCGAGAAGTTTATGATTAAGGTTAAGAGTCGAGCAGTTTATAACTGCAAATAAAATAGCTTAGCATTGACCTCAACACATTCTCATACAGGTAAGCATAGATGTATTGAGGAGAAGAAATGTTCTACTACTAATTACAGACCTGGATTTTTCTCATGAAGAGCTTTCAATTCTTGATCAAATGTACCAAGAATCAAGGCAACACCCAGCAAGGGTGGAAAGTCAATATGAAGTTGTGTGGCTCCCGGTGGTCGACAGATCTTCCCCTTGGGATGATAAAAAACAAAAACAGTTTGAAGCTCTACAATCAATGATGCCTTGGTACACTGTGTATCACCCTTCATTGATTGACCCTGCAGTTCTTAGGTACATAAAGGAGGTGTGGCACTTCAGCAAGAAACCCATGCTTGTCGTCCTGGATCCACAAGGTCGAGTCACAAACCCCAATGCTCTATACATGATGTGGATTTGGGGGGCTCTGGCATTTCCTTTCACCAGAACAAGGGAAGAAGCTCTTTGGGCAGAAGAGAAATGGAGGCTCGATTTGTTGGCAGATGCCATTGAACCAATGATCTTCCAATGGGTATGACAGTACTATGCTTCCTTTTCTTAAATCCTTGCTTTATCATTGTTTATAATAACGCACATAGTTCTATAGTGTACAAGCAAAACATCAATTTACAGATATATGACATGATTGACCAGCATCTGTTATGCATGTACAAGTGCATCATTTATCAAACAGATAAAACTGTACCAGTAATATAAAAGTGTAACGAATAGTCAGTCAAGCAAATAATAAAGATTGAAGGGATAGCTGTTAGTTTAATGCAGGACACCAAAAGCAAAGCTAATGTTGTAAGAGCATGAAGTCTACTTTTTTAATCAGCTCATGAGTCCTACTTTGTAACAGATTAAAGACCAGAAATATATATGTTTGTACGGAGGAGAAGACCTGGAGTGGATACAGAAATTTACCGCCAAACTACATGATACTGCAAAAGCTGCTCAAATTCCCCTCGAGATGTTATATGTTGGTAAAAGCAACCTCAAGGAAAAAATCCGTAAGATTAATGATGCAATTACTGCTCAGGGCTTTAGCCAAGTACTGCCTGATGTAACTCTAGTGTGGTACTTCTGGGTGCGTCTAGAGAGCATGTGGCACTCCAAGGTGCAACAAGGAAAGACGGTGCAGGATGACCCCATTATGCAAGAGATAGTTACAATGATGAGCTTCGATGCAGGTGATCAAGGGTGGGCTTTGATCAGCAAGGGGGCAACAGAGATGACCAAAGCCAAGGGTGAGACCATCATGATATGCTTGAATAATTTTGATATATGGAAAGAAGATGTCCCGGAGAAAGGCTTTGTGCAAGCAATAATCGATTATTTGCAAATGAACCAAACACCACACCATTGCAATCGTCTCATTCTACCAGGCACAACCGGGAGCGTTCCAGATAAGGTTGTTTGTGCAGAATGTGGCCGTGCCATGGAGAAATTTATCATGTATCGCTGTTGTACTGACTAGGAAATCTCACATAATAGGACTTCCACAATAAGAAGCATAGCACAAGAATAAAATGAACCTAACCATATTTCCATTATAACTTGCCATGATTTGATGTTTTAAATCTAGTAATACAGTTTGTAACTTAATGCTTGAACCTTTGATGTGGTAATACAGCAGATATAGTTTGATGTAACATAGAGAGTTGCAAGAAGATAAGAATGTTCTAATGTCTCAATTGATTCCGAGTTTTCGATGAAGTAGTTTATCTTCTTCATACATTCAAATGTTCAGCTACACTGCCAATCCACAGAAATCATTGCATCCGACTAAGAAAAACCCCACCCTTCTCAAGTCTGAATCTCTCATACTGTCATTCAACTCATCAAACTGCAGTGATATTTCAAACCAATTTATTCAAGTTTTTCAGGAGTCCAAAATTAAGGTCCAAGATACAGTCATCCTGAAAAAATATATCAAAGTCTCTGTATCGCAATCAACATTTCCGTCATCAATTCCCCAGTCGTTACAGGAATTACACATTAACTCGCTCTAATTGTACACTAATAATGAAAACACCAGTTTCATGCACAATAATATGGAACACTAAACTTTGTTTCTAATGTTTTATCAATTTTTCGCTGTCCTAAAATCTACTTGTATGATATCAATTCCTCCAATTTTCAAATTGTCCATCTAAAGTGAATTATTTACAAAATTAAATTATTATTTTTACCACATTTGGAGTAATGCACATTTTGTAACATTATTATCAGAAGTTCAATTCAATAGCATCAAATCCGACATCATAAATCATCATTAAGAAGTTTAATGTAAAAACCACAATACATACACAAATTCAAAAATTTCAAGAATCAAGATTATAGATTCCACAACATATTTTAAACATTATTATTAAAACAAAAAAAAAAAATATTCGCATCCAAAAACATGAACTTCAATTCAATCCGAATCAGATGTATTCAACAAATTAAAATTGAAAGTATCGAAAATGTACCAGTAGACAGGTAACGCGATGAAAGTAAAGAGATTAATAGATTAATCCATTCATCGAGCTGTTTAAGACTGGCAATTTTAATCAATTTATGCTTCGGAAACTAGAACACTTCTCATTTACAGAGAGAGAGTTCACCATATGAAGCAACAATAAATAAAATATAGATTAGAAAATCAAATGTCACAAATTCGAACTTCAAAATGCGAACTACGAATCAAGAATTAAATCGCAGTTGCAAGAGATTTGATAAAATCAAATCAAATCAAATCGAAGTTGAAATTGCAGGATTATTTATATATGCTCCCCTTGACACGTTCATCGGAATTGAAAAAAGCCGATTAACGCAACGCCTCGGAGAGCAAATTTGCAGAATATTGATGAACGATAAATAAAATGCAGGAAAATGTTGATTGAAAATAATGAGTAACAAAAAATGAGGGAGGTTGAAGACGATGAATTAGGGTTTATTCAAAATAGGTGCAGATGATTTTGGAAAAGAAGAATGATTTGGGGTTTTATAATACAGGTTGGAAATAAGGGTTGGAGGACGATGGAAAAATATGGGCCTTCTTTGATAATCACGGCCCAATCTTGAAAGTGAACGAGCAACTTTTTTTTTTTTTTTTTTTAATTAAGGGGCCTAGGGCAGATAATGCTAATGGGAACGTCCAATAAGTCCTTAGGATACATGCACCACGACTTATAAAATGAACATGTAGTAAAAAAAAAAAATGAACACATAAAAAAAAATGAACACATAAAAAAAATGAACATTTAGTAATAAAAAATAAACACGTAATAAAAATAAAAATTTAGTATTAAAAAGTGAATACATTAAAAAAAAAAATGATCATATAGTATATTAAAAATGAACATGATTATCATATAATCATAGAATTGCTAGACCACGGCCTTAAAAATGAACATTAAGTAAAAAAAAAAACAAATATTATGAACACGTTAAAAAAATATACATTTAGTAATAAAATGAACACGTAAAAAATATTATTAATGTTTTTATCTCATTATTATTATTATTATTATTATTATTATTATTATTATTATTATTATTATTATTATTATTATTATTATCTCAAAAACAGACAAAGTCATACAACCTACAATAAATTAGTGAGAAACCGAGATACAATCAAACCCTCCTTGTAATTATTAATACTATTACCCTCCTTGAAATCAAACCCTCCTATTATTATTATTATTATTATTATTATTATTATTATTATTATTATTATTATTATTGTCGTCATTATTAATATTATTATAATTATTACTACTATTATTATTATTGCTATTATGTTATGAAATATTTGTGGATATCCATTATCCTCCTTGTATCATTCCGGAATATTCTAGATCTAGGGTACGTTATATTCTTATCCAATCAAACCCTAATTATATTGTATGTATGTATGTATGTGTGTGTATATATATATATATGCACAATATCATATGGAATAAAGAGATACAGATTAATTCTCTCTCTATCTCTCATATTTTCTCCCTATTTCACAACACGTTATCAGCACCATAACTCTAGATTGATTTCAATATCAATTAAAGCATCATAAATTGACTGATCTCAAACGACAATCAAAGGTATGCCTAAACTTTGTTATTATCAAATTATTAGGTAAATAATTTTACACTCTTTAACAAATCGACATGTATACATTTGTTGGATATATTCTAATTAATAATTTTGGTGAAGACTTATTTTGATACGGAGTATTGTGGTTATCATTATATTACTATTGTGTTTTTGATATATGGATCTAACATTATGTATTGTGTCATATTAAGAAAATAAAATCTCCCTTTTAGATTGTCCTCTAATGATGATTGCTTTTATTAATTTGGTTATATATATGCTTTCATACTTTATTCCTTTATATATGATTTTTTTTTAAAAAAAACATTATCTATATATGGTTATACGTAGATATATTTTGCTTCTTGGATTGATAGAATACAGTACTTACTATTGGAAAATTAATTATTGAGCAAGAATTTCTGAAAAGAGAAGGTGCAGCAAATTAGGTTGTGTTATTAAAAGTGGGTTTCGAATTCAAGATTTCTCGTTACGTTTAATATAACTGCCATCAAGTTGTATGATTGTAGGATGATTGATTTGGTTTTATTTTAGTTTCCAAATCCCCCATGATGTGCAACTACTTAGATTAATATGGGGTCAATAATGCTTATTATTTCTTTGTGGGCTACCAGCTAAAGACCATAGTCAACTTTTGATAAATTGATTATTTAGTTTATTAAACAAATTAACATCAAATGAACTGTGAAGCCCTTATATAACGTGTCAGCTAGCATTTGGGATTAATTTCCCTAAGAATTGAATATCGACGATAGTACAAGTGTTGAAAAGGCTCTCAAATAATGATCAAGGGTTTAATCCAACACACCCGAAAGCCTATAAGATCCCAATGTACTCTAATGCAGGAAAGTCTTCCTTACTACATTATTTCGTTATACTCTAACTCACTTAATATGTAAGTGTATCCCTTTATATCATTTTTGTTATATTAATGTATTGTATTACAATGTGGGGGTTAGTTTGTCATACTAAATAATGAGGTAATGTGACTCACTAAGGAATATCCATGAGAGTTTATTTTCTTGTAGTCTTTGCTTAGCTACTTGTTATTATCTCTACTAATACTTATGTCCATTGATAAATCATGTTTGATTATGGACCTTAATTATTAAATGTCCTGATTGATTATGGATTTGTTTGTTTAGTTTGAATTATTCAAGTTGTTAAACTTCCACCCTGATCTAAAGACCTAGACAATTGAATTGTTGACCATGGAGTATGTGCCAAGTTTTTTTCTAGATTATATTAGTTATTTCTCCGTGCTTGTAAGAATAATCAAAAAAAATGTAAAACTAATATACTAGTATACTACTTATGCGGTAAGAATAAGAATTAGATTTTATGTCTCGAATGTTTATGAAGGCTTTGTGAATATTTGCTATATAGGATTAGAAGATTTATTTGAGCGATTTTGTGATAGAGTTATGAGAAAGAGATTGTTGGAAAGCTTTAATCGATGAATATATAGATGAATATACACGAGTATATAATTATATCGATGAATATACACGAGTATATATAGTACAAGATTAGAACATTGAACATACCAAACTATGACTAGATACAATACATGACTAGGTACGTTAGCTAGTTATCAAAATTAAGGAGTAAATCAAGGGATTTACATATTCTAAACAATAACTAATAATGGTAATGATGATATAATCATCTTTATCCTTTATACGCCCCCGCAAGAGGGAACGAGAGACCGATCTTGGATATAACATCTCAAATCTTGTTCAATGTAGGAACTGAAGTGGTGGTAAGAAAGGTTGCATTGCATTGTGATTCTCCAATAAGGTTTGGAGGGAGTGGAGCATTAGAATTTTTTAATTTTTTTTTAAAGGAAATTAAAGAGAAATAAAGAAATGTTTTTTTTTTTTTTATAAAGAAAAAGAAAAAGAAGTGTATTAAAAGAGTTTTTTTTTTTTTTTTGGGTGGAGGGGTTGTGTGAAGAAGTAAAAAGATAGTATATAGAGAGAGAGAATAAGAAATTGTTTGTGAATGGGTGTTTTTCACGGTTTTTAAACACATGAACCATTGATTGTAAAAACTAAAAAAAAATAAAGAAATTTGCTACCATATGCTTGCAGCAAATGGGAGAAAAAAAAATATAGAGGTTCCTTCACCACCATTGAAGGCGAGATAGAAAAATTATAATGGTGGTGGTGGTTCTGGTGGTTTAGAACGGAATGTTGTGTTTCTCCATAATGGTTTTGGAGAGAAAATTTCATATATGGTATCACATGGTAGGTAAACTACGGGATACCGAAAAAGGATTGTTTCTCTGTGTAAGGGGTTTGGAGAAAAAATATATATATATATATATGGCATCTCTTGGTATATGAAATACGGGGTGCAAAAAGAGTTGAACAAAAGTGTGATTTTGGTTTGAAGCTTTCCGAGAAGGAAGTTTGATATGGTCACCATCATTTGTTGGCGTCGGCAAAGG